TATTAATTAATCAAATATTTGCATTTTCTTGCAGATGTTATAATAACAAAGAAATAGAATAGAACAAAATTTCAAAAGAAGAAGCAAGATTAATTTTGGATCTAGCTTTTTATCCTCAAAAATATCATGAAATTGATTCAATAATCAAAAAAACTACACTCAAAAATTATGAAATACTTACTTCTCTTAAAAATGGAAAAATATTTACTAATATTGAACAATCAAATTTAAATTTAAAACTAAAAATAAAACTTCATCAAAAAAGAGCAAGTAGATATTCTTATTATCTTTTTATTATATTAATTGATTGAATAAAAAATTTTAAAACAGCTAATGAAATAAGAGAAAAAGTAAAACAAAATAAAGTTTTAGACAAAAAAGATAAAAAAAATTAATTAATAAATTAAATTTAATAATGTGTAAATTTATACAAGAAGATTATTAAATAAAATATATAAATAATTTTTTTCTTTTAAATTATATTATCGATGTTGTTCAATTTTACTCAGGTCGCTCTACCAACTTTTTTACACTAATAATGTTTTATTTTAATTTTAATTAAAATAAAAATTACATTAATAACCTCACTGATTGACAGTCTTGCCAGTTGGCAAACTCGCTAGTTAGCATCCTTTCAAACCATTTAACTAAGATCAGGTGTGAAAGATATTTTTGATATGTTGTGAGCCTCGATACTTATGAATTGTGAGCTATCGCTCACAATTAAATGCAATCTCGTTAACAATATATTGTCAATATCTTAATATAAAAAAATTATAATAAAAAAAATGACTATTTAAAAAAAAATAAATTTTAAAAATATTTGGTTAAATTCTTAATTCTTTATTAAATAGAACTGGTGGAGCTAAAGAAAAAGATGAAACATTTGAAGAATGTGCTCATAAAGAAGCTTTGGAAAAAGCAAATATTGAATTGAAAGAACTTATATTTGTTTGTTTTCAAGAAGGATTTAGAAAATTTTCAAACAGAAATGAATGTTTATTTAAGACAGCAATATATTTTTTAGTTATTGATAAATTAGTCCCAGAACAAACTGAACCAACAAAAAATGATTCATAGTTTCCTTATGACTTAAAAGATTTATTACCGGTTCAGTTAAAAAAAGTTAACTAAATTAGTTTTTTTCTTTGTTTATAAATTTGTTGTCCTAGCAAATATCAGTCTTATACCAAATCATTATAATAAATGACAAAAAAATATAGCACACTATGTTTTGAGGTTAAATGATTTTGCAAATGCCTCATAGCTTATAAATTTGTAGCTTGTAAACAAGCCACAAATTGAATGCTACTCATTTTTGCAAAATCTTTTTTGCACTCCAGAGCCACGCAGAGTCTTTTAGTTAAAATCGCAAACGATTTTGTTTTGCTTATAAACCCAATTTCCTATGGTGGGTGTGGGTGTTTGAATCATGTATTTTTACGTTGATTTGAGGTTTTTGAATCGTTGATTTCATCGATAATGAAATCGTTGATATGGTTTGGCACCCTGCCTCACACTCAAATCATTGTAGCAAATATACTCAATATTAATTTGTAACAACTTATTAATGTTTAAAATAATTTTTTATTAATTTTTTAACTTTTTCAATAGATTAAAAATTAAAATCAGATACATATAATTTTTTTGAATCTAATAATGCTAATTTATCTGCATGTTCATTACCATATATACCTGAATGACCTTTCATATGTTTAAAATAAGTTTCTTCTTCTCTAGCTTTGATTAATTCATTCATTCTATCTACTAAATCAAAATTTGTTTTAGGATTTTTTATATTATAACAATTAATAATATAAGTACTATCTGTAAAAATAATTATATCTGATTTATTATCAATAATATCTAAAGCACGAATTACAGCATAAATTTCTGCTTGATTATTTGTTTGTCTTTTACCAGATAAATGTTCAAATAAATTTCTTGAATTATTATTACCAAAAAAACTCCAATACTGGCTATTGCTTCTTTTGTTCTATTTTTTTTACAATAACCGTCAGTATAAATTTTAATTTTTCTATTTTCATTGATTTTTTCTTCATCAATATATTCTTGTGCTTGTTGTTTTGTATAAAATTTTTTATACAAAGCATCAGGATACTGATCAGTTTGTTTTTTACATTCTTTCCAATTCATATAAATTCCAGATTTATAACCTATACGAACAGTATAATAACCTATTGTAGTTCTAGACATAACTGGATTTATAACATAAATAATTCAAACAAATGAATCACAATTATGAATACCAGAACAGTAACACACCCACTATGAGGTTGCTATTTATAATCAAGTGAGAGTTAGTATAGAGTAAAAAAACTGAATTTCTAGACAAAATACAGTTAGAAGCTCTTTTACGTGATAATAAAATATTAATTATTTATCAAAAGAAATTTAGACCTTTTTATAAAGATTTAAAAGCTAAGCCACTTAAATAAAGAAAAATCTGTGGTTAAAAACTAATCAGATATTTATTTATATAGTTAAATAAACTGACCTATCTATTTTAAAATATCAAATAACTGATTCACTTATTTATTTAAAAATTCAATATTACATTTATAAAATCAAACAGATAACTGTTTTTGAATTGAATTTGTCTGTTGGGGTATAGTAATTGTAATAAAAAACTGCAAGTTTTTCTATCTTTATCAAGATAAAATTTATGCTGTTTAAGAAGTGGTTGATGTTCTTTATCTAATAAAATTTTTTTATCTTGAGAGATCTTAATTTGAATATATTCTGTTATATGTCTATCTGGATCTGAATAATAGATTGGATGACGATAATTTGTGTTTTCATTTTCTCAATATCACCAAAGTTTTTCTTCAAATTTAGCTATTAAACAAATAATTAAATAAATAAAGTTCTAGTTGGTCATAGACTAACTAGATAAATAAATTATAAAAGATTAAAAATAGCTAATTGTAACTAGCTAATATTTTATTTAGCTCTTGTTCATCTTGTTCATCAAATTCATTGAGCTTAGAAACATTTTTTTGATAAAATATATCTAAATACTCGGCTAATTGTAACTTGGTTATATATTTTTTTTAATTTCATTAATCAGATTTAAATTTTTAAAAAATGATTGTACAAAAGAATTGTCTTCATGAGTTGAAACCAACTAATATATTCATTAATTTCTTGACAAATATCTGTTTTTTCTTGTTCAGAAAGTAAATCTTGTTTAGTAAATTTTCTAGAACAACTATCAATAAACTGAGAATGAAAATAATCATAAACAGTTCGATGTATTAAAAAAATTAATGATTTCATTTCTTGTTCTATTTTTTATATATATACAAAAAAATCTATCTGGTATTCAAACTAGATAGAGAAATTAATTATAAAATACATGCTTGATAATATAATTTGTTTTTTTAAATATAATAGATTCTGTTAAAATAACAAATCCAACAATTGTTTCTATTTTTAATATATAATTAAATTCTGAATTTGAAGATATGTAAAGCTTGTTTCACTTTTTTTGAACTAAAAGAAATTTATTAAACATTTCTTTATCAAACTAAGGCACTTTTTCTAAATATTTGATTATGTTTTTCGATGGCTGATTTGAGTTGTAAAATATTTGGATCAGATTATAAGTGTTGACACCAACTATATTATGATCAAATTTTATATATTTTATTTTTTAATTTACTTTCTACTCTTGGGTACTATATAAAGAAACGTGTAGTGAATTTGGAGTTGTATCAAAACATTGCCTACACAATATGTGTGTATATAAAAAATAATTATTAATATTTCTAAAATTAAGTGAAAATATATTAATTCCAAGATGTTGTCCTGTGTTGTTACCGCAAGACTGAATTCCACAATTATTATTAAAAATAAATAAAGAACTACAAAATTGACGCTCATTACATTTGTTACATATACGCTTTTCAATTTCTTCTATTTCTTTATAATATTTTAAATAAAGTTTACCAAATTCAGACCAATGTGATTCAAGCAGGCTTATATATTAAAGTCCTTCTTTTTTGTTATCAATAAGTAATTTTTTTTTTAATTTCAGATTTGGGTTTTATATATTCTATCAATTTTTGTTTACAATAAACATATTCTTTTTCTCGATTACAAAGTATTTCTTCATATTTGCATTCTTCACAACGTTGATATTTTCTATCAAAATAAGCTCATTCTGATTTTTTCTTTTTTTTGATATATTTAAAATCGTAAACTTCTGGCAGACTTTGCATTAACCTAAATCTATTGTGCTCATAAAATTTATAGCAATTTGGATCATTTACAACACCCAAATAAACTCTAAAAAGAGTTCTACATGTTGTTTCAAATTGATATTGATCCTTTTGAGAAGGTAAAAAGCCATATATCATAAGAAGAATTTCAGTGAGAAAAAATACAAAATTAATTGGAGGAATTTCTTCTTGTTTAATCTTTTTTGTTTGTTTAATTTTTTTTGCAATATGAAAATTTTTTTCTTGTTTAAACTTGATTTTTTTTTCAATATAAAAATTTTTTTTTTATTTTTAATGAATTATTATAGAAATAAAAATCTATTCGGTTAAAAAACTGAATAGATATTATTTATTTGATTTTTTGTTTTTTGTTTACATCATTAGAGGTTGGTTCTAATTTTCTTTTGGGAGAAAAAAAATTAGTTATTAAAGATTGTTTATTTTTTTTATCAGTATCATTACTTTTTGTTGATTTTTTTTTCTTTTTTGTAAATTGTATATTGGTAAAATATTGTGTTATAAAATGTTGTTTTTTAAGCTCGTTTTGTTTAAATATTTCTTGAATTGTTTCTTTTGCTTTTTTTGATTCGCATTTTAATAATGAAACACAAATATCTTGTAAACTATTGAAATAGTGTATAATATCTATTCAAAGTTTTTTTTTCTTCTCTATTAGCAACAAAATAATCAAAGGATGCATTTTTTCTAAGATTGTATTTGTGTTTGGTACACGTGTTATTAAATAATAAAAATGACCTGGTTCAATTGTTATTTTTTTTATCTGCTATTCTAGTTATATATGATATCACCATCTTGTTTCCTTTATTAGTTTCATCACCTTTTTCTCATCATTCTTCCATATCAAAAAAATTTTTCACATGTCGATTTGTAGTAGAATCATATATTGCAGTAAGCTTGAATAAATTTAATAAAATGTTATCCTCATCAATATATTTGGCAATAACTTTAAATATTTTGTTTTTTAGACTTGTTTCTTCAATTGAAATCTGATTATTTTCTTCATAGCCTAATGATGCTCAGATTAATTCTTTAGCAACTGTCTTGTAAAATTTTGATATATTTCTTTTTACAACTTTGAGTCCTTTTAATAAAAGTTTTGGTTTTTCAAATTCAACATCGTCTTTATGCACATAACCACAATATTGTTTTTTTTGTAAATATAAAGCTAGCATCATTGTTTTTTTATATGCCATCTTTAAATAAAGTTGCCCAGTTAGCTCTTGTAAATATTTGTTTATCTCTTTTTCAAGTATCATTGATTGTTTTATTGTTTTTCTTATCATCTTGTACCAGTAAAGTTGTTTTATCTTTCTTTGAATATTTGGTGATATTTTTTTATTCTTTATATTATATTTAATATCTAAATGTTAAAATAGTTTTTTTAGTAATATATAAAATAATAAATCTGTATCTCCATAAATTATATTATAACCTTTTTGTTCTGCAAATTGTATCATTTTTTTAAGATTCAAATATGCAAATCCTGTAACAGATAAAGAAACAGATTTAAGATAATATGGTGATAATCGATAACTAGTTTCTCTATAGATTGAATTTGCAATTGTTTTTAAAGCATCTTGTAAAGAATTATAATAAGAATATTCTTATTTGTTTTTAGCATTATTCATCTTTTTTTTTGCTATAGCACGTCTGGCTAATAATATTTTACACATCAATAGCATTAATCCCATTTTGGTTTCATCATTGTTATGCTTTTTAAATTTATCATAAATTATTCTATTATCTGTTATCACATTTAAATTTTCTTCTTGTGAATCAATATTAATATTGGTGTCCAAAAAAATATTATTTGTGATTATAATATTTGGATAATAAGCTGTAAAATCAATATCGGCAATAGGATGATTATTTGGATTTTTATTTGGATTCAAATTTAGACCACCACCATATTTATCTTCGATCACTTCTTCTTTTCTATGAGAAAAAACTAACATATCATATTTTGCCGCATTTCTTCTATAAAAATTTCTCACCAAACAACCAACTCTATTTGTAAATATATTTGATATTGTGACACAAGTTAGAGTTGCAAATTGTATATAATTGCCAATTATATTTCATTTAATCATGAGTTCATATAAATGAGCTGTATCAACTGAACAATAATATGCTAATTCTATAGCATATTCTTCTAATATTAAGAAGTCTTGAACTATCATAGCTTCTTTGCATTTGTCTAATAAAATCTTTGTTAGATTGGATAATTGCTCTGCTAATCTTGTTAATAGCTGAATATCATTCTTAAATTTAATAGCATTTATATAAACAAATATGCTATGTAAATTTTCTGATGATTCAGGTATATGAGGCAAATCTACTTTTCCTGATAAATTACAATGTTTTAATACAGCATCCAAAGTGTTTTTTATTTCTGTAGGAAAATTTTTTTTTGCCCAAATTAAAAGATCGATAAAAACTGTTCTGGGGATTTGGTAGTATTCGCATATCATTGTTTTATTTAGATTTATTTGAATATTTCGATTAGAACTATCAATTCTATAAATTTTTCTCTGCATCTTTTCATCAATATCTTTTTCAACTACTTTTATCATAGTTTCTCTAATATTATTTACTATATTTTCTTGTTCTAATATTTGACTAATTTCTTTTTCAATATTTAACATACGTATTTTTTTTAGTACAAAATTCTAATCAAATCCTCTGGTATTAAATCTAACCTCAAAAGAGGGTAAATATTTTTTAATTAATTCAAAAAATTTTATAATTAGTTCTTCTTGTGAATGAACAATAATAAAATGATTGTTGCCATATTTTTATTATATAAAATTTGATTAACTAGAATTTCTGTTAAACAAAAACATTTAATTGGTATTGAATCTGATAGAAAACAGAAATCTATTTGAATCATATATACATAATCTTGTTGTTCTTCTCCAACAGAAAAATATTCAGGCCCTCTTGTACTACTAT